GCGCGCACGCGCGCACGCGCGAACACGCGCACACGCGCACACGCGCACACGCGCACACGCGCACACGCGCACACGCGCACACGCGCACACGCGCACACGTGCACACGCGCACACGCGCACACGCGCACACGCGCACACACGCACACACGCGCACACGCACACGCACGCGCACACGCACACGCACGCACACACACACACACACAAAAAACATACATGCACATGCACATGCGCACACTGCCACCTTCCTGAGGTGTTTGAGATGAATCAGGGTTCACAGGCTCACCCAGGGCAGGCATCATGAGGGCGAAGCAGCTTCCCACCAGCGCGTACAGGCTGGTCCCCTGTAGCCTGTCCAGCATCTGGCAGCCATAGGGGCGGCACTTGACCTGCAGCATCAGCGCCACAAAGATCACGCAGTGGCCCGCCAGGACCTGGGCGGGGGCGCCGTACCGCGTGGTGACGGTGATGGCCAGGGAGAGCAGCAGCTTCTCCAGGAGCAGCACAGACTCCCAGAAGTAGTAGCCGTGGCGGTACGAGTCGTAGAAGAAGCCGTACATCAAGTCAGTCTGGCAGGGGCGTTAATGGGGGGTGGGGGGTTGGGGGTGGCGGTGATCGTTTGGCAGGCAATCACGTCTGTGAGGGGCTTTCTGTATCAGCCAGACCAGTTGGGCGGCAGTGTGGCAGCCTGCTCGGGGGTGGCAGGCAAAGCTCTCGATCTGCCACCTTTCTGCTGCTTGGCAGGCGCGCCTCCCATCACACAACCATTGCGCGTTGGATTCATTGAACACCCATGGCAGTGCACGGACCCCACTCCCCTGACGCAGCGGCGTCAGCGGCTCTCTGCCCCTCCCACTCCCGCACCTTGACTTCCCCCAGGCGTTCCCTGTTCATCCAGAGCACCAGAACCATGACTAGGGGGAATCCCGCGCAGAACGCCACCACCCACATGATGCCCATCACCAGCAGGACCCTCATGGGCCCCTCAAAGCACATCTGGCTGGTGTCGTAGTTCCAGTAAGTGCCGACGGCTTTGAGGGCGGCAAGTGCATCTCCTCCCGGCGATGTGGCGTTGCGGGGCGGGAGGTAGGCCGGGCTGACCGCGCTGTGGTTGTCAACGGTGGTGCATGCCGCAAGGATCGTGACGACGGCGTCTGACACCTGAGGCAGGAAGGCAGGAGGATGTGTGTCGCGCGTGACATCATCACAACAATCAATACAAGGAAGTGGACAACGGATTGCGAATATCACAAGTACTCTTAGCCAGGCGCAATCGCTGGTGAGTGCCATGAAAGTGGGATGACGCACAACACATACTTGACAAGGCTCTGCAAGTATGGAGCGCGCTGAGCTGTGGGCTTGGCAAGAGGGGCGCCCACCTGGGGGTAGAGGAAGAAGGCCACCATGATGCACGTCATCAGCACCCGCGGGCGGTAGTAATCCCACGTCACCCGGTCATGCTCGTGACCCAGCAGCCCTTGGTGGCGCTGCCACAGCGCGGTGACGGCGGCGATGGCAATCCAGCCGAGCAAGCCAACCAGGCAGGCGGCGGCTATGGTCACAGCATGGGCCAAGGGAGATGAGGGAGTGGGTAATGAATTCATTTTGCAAATCCTCTGCAGTGCAAGCCCCCAAGCAGATCAAGCTGCAAATCATCAGCCAGTATGGAGGGACAGGCCTGGCAAACAGACGTGGTATAACAAAAACCCCTTAAGTTTGCAGTAATTGGTTGCAGCTTTATTGCGACGTCAACCCTGTCAAACAATCTCACCTGGCATGAGCAGCAGGATGATGGACCTGGTGATGGAGGGGTGCAGACCCACCCCCGCCAGGCTGCACTCGAGTGACACCCAGGTTGAAAAGGCCTGGGTCTGATCCAAGAAGCCCAACACCTGGAGGGAAGGGTTACACATGGGCGGGAGAGGATATTTGTGATTGTGATTGTGAGCAGGTGGCTGTTGGCAAGCGGGCGGGTCAGTGGCTGTTTGTGCGCCCAATGAGTGTGATATCTGGCCAAACAGCTTGAGCAGCAGCAGTAGGACGATTAGCAGGGCTTTACGAGTATTTTGAGCCAAGCTGATTTGTTTGGGAGCTGCTGCTTGGGTGGCATTGAACTTGCCATCCTAAAGACACCTGGCATGCAAACATTCCAAGCAGGATCCCACAAGCCTGTCGCACCTTGTCCAATCCGTCAGGCCAGTCCATTCGAATACCCCTGAGCAGTCCCAGCATCTGCAGGTGCGTGAACAGCAGCTTGAACACGTTGGACAGCCAGGAGCGCTCGGCCCCCCCAACGCCAGCAGCGGCCTCGACGTCGGCGACCCCCTTGCAGGGGCCCGTGGTGGGCGCGCCTGTGGCTTGGCTGGTGTTGACGCAATCCGCGCCCATCACGACGTTGCCTTTGTTGGCATCCAAAGGGTCTGCAAAACTGTTGTGGCTGCGGAGCTTGGGGGCGCGGTCAAAGACCGACTTGACGGCGTTGACCGGCGCCGCGATGGCGGACTGCCTGAGGGTCGTGCCAAGCAGTGTCTTGGCGCTGCTCCGCTGTGCAGCTGCCGGCTGCGCGTATTTGTCGGCCGTCAACGCCACGACGCCGCCAGCGGAGCCGCCGCACGTCTTAGCCGCCGCTGATGGTTTTGCCGGCGCCGACGCCAGCGCTGGCTGACCATGCGACGACAGCGGCATGCCGCGCGTCTCCTCAACGACCGCTGCAGGTGTTTTTGCCCAACCGCCGCCGCTGCTGGGGTTGGCAGCGCCGCCATTGGCAACTCTCAAGCTGGCTGCTGGCCCACCTGAAGCGCCAAATGGTCGTGCGGCACCGTCTGTTGTGGCCAAACCGGCAGTTGCTTCCAAGCTCCGATTGGGATCCTCAAGTGGCGGGCCATGAAGCTGCCTAGCAGTTAGCCAGGCTTTTGCAAGCGCAGCTCCTGGGGTCGCGCTGTTGGAGCCATCCAAGGTGGTAAAGGTGAGCTCCCCGGCAGAAGCGCCCTTGTTCAAGTTTGCCGTGTGCCGTTTCGCGCAAGGATTCTGAGACGTCTGCTTTTGGCGGTAGGAGATCTGCGTTGATGGCAGCAGCAAATTGAATTTGCAAGGGTGCAAGTACATTTCAGATGTGACTTCAGGGCCGAAAGCATGCCAAAGCAGGCTACTCTGTCCACCAGAAGGAAGCAGGGCTGCACCACCCGTCACAACCAGTAAATGCGGTGTGCACAACCGATCCACCCTTTCAATTCTTGGCCGACAAGGTGAGTGACCCCCCAAATTCCCTTGCGTGTGACGCCCCTCACCGACCTGATTGAGATGGAGGGTGACTTGGATGATTATAAGGATGGCCATCCACGACAGCGCCAGGAAGTACCTGCGGTGCGTCCACAGGAAGGGTGAGTGCATGAGGGAGCAAATGCATGCATTACGGGTCCATGAACACGAGGGCAGGTGTGTGTGGGTGTGGAGGGCGGGGATTGGCCTGAGAGCCTGCGGTTCAAGTTGAATTGCGCAGCCGTGCGGATGGCCGAAGCGCAGTGCTGCGGGCCCCACACTGTACGCTCCGCACTAGTTTCAGTGGTGGCACAACCCTCAGCCAAGGTGCGCGCAGCGCCCTTTAGCTGGACGCCGAAGCTTACAAAAACCCATTGGTAGATGAATTGCCGCATTTCTTGCAGGACCGGCCGCGCCGCCCAAAGCCCTCCACGCACTCGCCACACAGCATGCCCTGCAGGTAGGGTGAGAAAAGCTAGGAGTGTGTGGTTTTCACACCTGGAGGGATCGCAAGCGCGTTGATTCACATGCAAAGCAAGGTGCCCAGAGGATAGCAGAGTTTGTCCGGGGGTGGTGGGGAGGTCGTACACATATGACTTTGCAAAGAAATGCACTGAAGCGGGTGATGGCAGCATGAGCGTCTGCATCAGCATCAGCATCAGCAGCAGCGGCAGTAGCAGTAGCAGCAGCAGGACCAATAACAGCAGCGCCGAACGCGGCAGCAGCAAAGGCAACGAAGTGGGTGATGGCGGCATGAGCGTCTGCAGCAGCCGCAGCAGCAGCCGCCGCAGCAGCAGCCGCAGCAGCAGCAGCAGCAGCAGCAGCAGCAGCAGCAGCAGCAGCAGCAGCAGCAGCAGCAGCAGCAGCAGCAGCAGCAGCAGCAGCAGCAGCAGCAGCAGTGGCACGCTTGAGCCGCAAGCTGGCGCGGCTCCCTCAAGCCGGCAGCGCTGCAAACCGCGCACACCTTGTGGCCGTCAGCGCACTGCATGCCGACATACTCTAAGTAACTTTCTTCCAGCGCTGTCACTGTCAGCCCGGCCCGCTCCACAGCCCACGCTTGCATGCCCATGCGCTGCGAGGTGCACGCGGCCGCTGAAAGGCAGCGGTGCATTATGGGGCTGCGGGGGTGGCTCTGCCAGAAGCCGTTGTTGGGGATCTTCGCCACGCCAGTGCTGTTGGCGGTTTGAGAATGACGAGGGGTGGACCAGGCAACGGTGTGGTAAGGAGGAATGCAGATGGGGCAAGAAGCCAGGTCTCGCACACACGCGGGCGCTGGTTCCTTAAGGTGTGCTGAGGAGGGTGAGGACTCCGGCACGGGGATGCTGGGTTTGGGCCAAACAGGAGCTCAGGGGGGTGCAACAGCAAGCCAGCCCAGTCGCTCTCACGCGTACGCGTGCACCTGTCCAGCACTCACCAGTTGGCGTGGTCTGCGTTGGCGCACAGAATGCAGCCGCCTGCCGCGTTCGGGTCAAGGCTGACACTGCCCTGCCTGCAGGCCTGGCACGGCGCCAGCAAGCTGGCGGCCACGGCGCTCTCGACGTCAATGCTGCCGCTGCCGTCGCCGCTGGTGACAGAACTCTGGGTGGCGGTGGTGTTGGACTCCCCTGCCTGGCAGACCCGCAGGTTCAGGTTGAGCAGGGCCGGGGCGAGCCGATGGTGCTGCAAGACAAACGGCGAGAAGCGGAGCTGGTAGGAGCCAGGGGGTGCAATCACCTGCGCACGGAGACAGGCAGGAAGACAGGAGAAGTAGTTTTTTTGAGGGTTGGCAGCAGGTTGGGCCTGCTGTGACTACGCCAACAGCAGTTGTTGCTGTCTGGCGTTGTGGACAACTATCTGCGCCCACCTGCATAACAGGGAACTTGGCGACCCCATCGCGCGCGACAGATATGTTTCCGTTTGACATGATTTCGCTGCGCCACGTGTTGTTGACGTACACATGGCCCTGCAGGTGGGGTGATGGCGGTGCTGGGGCGCATTTGAATACTGTCGGCAAGGTTGGGGGACTGGGTGATGTGGTCAAGGGGGCGGTCAAGAGCCTCAAGGCTCCATGCTTGAATTCGCGGACTAGGATGCTGCAGTGTCGCACGCACAACAGCCAGTCATGACAGCGTTGCTGCATGGCCCAAAGCAATTGTGCACCCCATAACAAGAGAGCTGGGCGTTCCAATTCGTGTACAGGCGGACAGACTGTCAAGTCTCCACCTGCAGAACCAGGCCGGAGTCGAAGCCCGACTTGATCCTGTTCCCCTGCCAGTCTGCCACGACCACCTCCACCCGGAACACACCGCCCGGCGGCACCGTCAGCGCCGCCGACACCGCACCAGCCCCGCCCCCGCCGGGTGCATCAGGGCGCGCCTGACCACAGCCCCGCACGCCTCGCGGCCGTGCGCCCCCGGACGTCGCCGGCGTCGGCTCTGCGCAGCCGACGGCGAGGCGCGCCACGATGCTGGCAACATCGCCCATGTCATTGTCTGATGCGTTGTTGCCAAACGGCAGCCCAAGAGATCTCAGCTGCCCGCTGCTGTTTTGGGCCTTGTCCATGCACGCTTTCAGGGCGATCAAGCCGGCAAACGCAGCAACATATGCAGCGGGGGGCCCCGCCGTAGCGGAGCAGGTCGTGAGTGCCAGGCTGGCGTTGGTGACGAGGAGGCCGCCTCCGATTCCGTCCCGTGCCGAGTTGCGGGTGATGACGTTGCCGCCGCCCAGGACGAGGCAGGCCGGGGCCGCAGCGCCGCGATCGCCGGCACGGGCGGGAACAGTGGTGTTGCATAAGTCTGTGCGGACGATGATGCCACCTTGAAGGGAGGATATTGGAAGGTGGTTGCCGGGGACAGAGTGAGGCAGGACTGCCGGTGAAACCTCACATCTACCAAGTGGGCAGTAGCGTCATAGAGGAGCGGCTTTACTGGGCTGGTCTCAGCCGGTGCATTGGCCCAAGCTCAGCGTGAGCAAGCCCGGCCCAGGCGAGCCCAGCAATTACGAAGTGCAGCGCGGCCCCCCGGCCAACGCGTCGCTCCAGCTCACCACCGTTGGGACCGACGTTATCAGTTATGTCGCAGCCCCGCACCACCACAGGGCCGTCGCTCGAGACGTACAGTGCGCCGCCGCCTTGGTACTGCAGGTCGTCACCGGTGACGTTAGCGGGGTCGATGGCCCTCGCTGACATCACTCTTGCCGGCGCATCGAGCGGCGCCGCGGCAGTAACATCGCCGCTGACGTGTGCTGGCGGGGCTTGTCCGTTGCCAGTCGGGGTAGAGGCTGGGACGGGGGGCGTGGCGAGCTGCAGCAGCAGCCGCGCGCGTGCGCGCCGCGGGGCCGCTTTTCGGTTGGGGCTTGGTATGGCACCAGAAACGAGCGCAGCGTTGTGGTGGAAGGTGCACTTATTGACCCATACTGTGCCCTTCGCACGTAATATTGCGGCGCCACCGCCGTAGGCACGGGCGACATTGACAACAAACGTGTTGCTTTCAAGCCTCACATCGCCACATGCGTGGCAGCAGAACCCGCCGCCTGCAGACTGGCTGCCCGTCGCGCCATTCCCTTCAAACCTCACGCCGGTTGCGGTAAGGTTCAGCCCCGCGCCGCCAGCGAGGAGGCCGCCGCCGCCAATCACACCGCCAGTGTTGTTTGCCAACAAGCCGCCAGCAACCAGCATTGCCCCGTTGCCGAGGAAGCAGCTCGCGCCTCCGCCGCCGACCGCAGCAGCGTTGCCCACCAGCTGCGCCCCAGCTAGCACTAGCATTGAGGCGCTGCCTGACATGGCGAGGGCGCCCCCGTCGCCGCTTGTGGCAACGTTGCCCTCAAAATGGCTGGCGGCTGCCTGCGAGGCTGCCGCAAGCACTGCGCGGTGCGGGAAGACTTGGCCCCAGAGCACCATTGGCCATCCATCCGGAGTGTTCCTCGTACTGCCACCTACGACTGCGTCCTTGGCACCTTGCTTGAAAGCTGCTGTGAGAAGCTGTGCGGCAGCTGGCGTAGACACCCTGAGGGCTCCGTTGTCCACGGCCCAGCTGATTGCGCCACCACGGCCGGCGCTGTTGCGTGCAAAGGTAGACTGGTGCGAGGTGGTTTTGGCGTGCAAGCAGGGGGACAAAGAGCTTATGTTTTGGAAGCAGCTGTGCCTCGTCCGCGTTGACTCGCAACATGTGTTAGTGCAACGCGTTCAATATGTATTGTCAAAGCCTTCGTGCCAGCACGCAGCCTGCCCACGCGCCACGGTGTGCAGTCTGAGGGGGCTTCGCTGCGCTCACCTGGACGATGATGACTTGTAGGAACCTGCCCCGCAGCTGCACGGCTCCGCCCTCTGTCCCCGTTGCGACCGTGCCGCCAGGTCCGCGGCTCCCTCCCACCCAGTTTTCATCAAGTTTGCAGGTTGACAACTGGAGCTCGCTGTACCCTGGCGCTCCCTCTGCGTGTGAGCAAGCAAA